AGTAAAATTACTTAGGATTCTTTTGCAAGTGACTTGGAACCCAAAGAAGCAAATCCATTTAAGAGAAGCCTCTTTCAGACCTGCCCTGAGAATGAGGCTATTCCAGAATGTCCAAAAACAGATGTTTTCAGGTACCAGACAACTGGGATATCTGGGATCCAAGATGAAATGTGCTGATTAAACGGACATTAAGAGTGGGTTACTACAATATAAGGAGACATGATGTTAGTTAATACTAATGATCATCATTGTATTACTGTGGCTTTGGGGGGTTTGTTTGCTGAGTTTTCCTGGTTACCTTGGTGACATGCATCCTCTCAAATTAGCCCTTGGTGAGTTCTCCAAATAGCCTGAATCTCTCAGTGGAAATTGAGACACTGACTCGGGTCACAAGAGAATCCATCTCCTCCCTCTAAATTGAGGTTACTCAAATGGTTTTTGCAAAATCACATGGTTTTAGATATTCTTAAAGCAACACAGGGAAGGGCTTGTGCTATAACTCACTGATCTTATAATTCTTACATTAACTGGTCAGGAGAAATTGTGACAAGCCTACATAAGATCCAGTGAGTTACAGCAGAAACACAACTACCATCACCAGGTGACCCCAAGTAGAATTCTTCTTCTTGGTTCACTTGGTTACAAGGAAATGGCCTGTTAGCCACCCTTGATAAATGGGCCTTTATTGCTCTCTGTCATCTTATTCTTTTTAGACCTTGCCTTAGTTGATGTGTTAAAGCCTGTTCTAGACTAGCCCCAGAAAAGCCTATGGTACTACTGATAACGACTGTGTTAAAAATCTTATAGAATTAGATTACAGCTATGTCTTCCATTGATCAAAGTTCGAAGAACTGAAAAAATCAAATTGATTCCATTTGTAATTGATTCTATTTCATCCCAACCACTGACATTTTATATAACTGTTCAAGTCACTTTCGTCTCCGAGTTAAGTTCAAAAGTCCCTAAATCCATAAATTCAGTAGTCAGAGACATGTTTTCCTCTGTACTGCTAGCTGTCCTAGCAAGCATGCAAGTGGACACAACCTATCAGCTTTCCCTAGTGATAAAGAAAAAAAATCTCTTCCCTTCCACCAACAGAAACCAGATGACTTAATCCTACCTACTGTCCTGCCTAAGTGCTGTTCTTTTTCTTTTTTGCTTTTTGGTGAGGCAATGGGGTTAAATGACTTGCCCAGGGTCACACAACTAGCAAGTGTCAAGTGTCTAAGGCCAGATTTGAACTCAGGTCCTCCTAACTCCAAGGCAGGAGCTCTATCCACTGTGTCACCTAGATGCCTTGTGCTGTTCTATTTCTATCCACTTTCCCTCGACTATAAGAAGCCTTGTAAACCACACCTGGGGATCTTTTGGCTTGTTGAGGAGCTGAAGACCCCTTTTATTGATAATGGCTATCCTTATCAACAAATCAATCATACTCAACTTTGTTGTTTCAATTTACCTTCATTTCAACTGCAAAAATGGATTCCTTTTGTGTGCTGTCTTCCCCCATTAGAACTTAAGCTCATGAGAGCAGGGACTTGATTTTTCTTATTTATATCCTCACTATTTAGCGTAACAATAATAACAATAACTAACACTTACATAGAGCTTACTATGTGCTAGGCACTGTTCTAAGCGCTTTACAATTATCTTATTTGAGTTCCACAACAACTCTGGTGCTATTAGTATCCCCCTTTTACAGATGAAAAAACAAAGGCAAACAAGGGGTAAGTGACGCCTCCAGGGTCACATGGCTCTAACTTCAGTCCTCCTGACTCCAAGTCCAGAGCTCTACTCACTGCACCACCTAGTTGCCATGGCCTGGCACACAGTGCATGCTTAATAAATGTTCACTGTACTGATTTAGTGCATTGCGATTGCTGATACTGCATTTACCTGGTCTTTGTGTCTTCAAAGGGCTTCTCTGATTACACAGAACCTAGTGAGGAAAAAAACTACTGGTTAAGGCACTAGCTATGCGCATCTGACTGCCAACAACTGTCACTTTTCTTTTTGTTGTCTTTGCCAATTTGGGGGGTGTGAGGTAACACCTCAGAACTGTTTTAATTTGTATTTCTCTTATTATTAGCGATTTGGAGAATTGATTTTCATGTGGCTGTGCTGGTTCACAACTTGGACTTCTTCCCTTGAGAACTGTTCCTAGCCTTTGACCATTTATTTGTTGGGGAACGGCCCTTACTATTAAAGTATGTATTTTGAGTCAGTTTCCCATATGGCTTGGATATCAAACCTTTATGAGAAGAATTGGCTGCAAAGATTTTTCCCAATTAATTTCTGAGCGCATTACTTTTTTTTTTTGCAGAAGCATTTCAATTTCATGCAATCAAACTTGTCTATTTTGCCTTCTGCGATCCTCTGTCCCTCAAGCATTCTCCTCTCCATGGCTGTGAAAAGCATCTTCTTCCCTGTTCCTCTAATCCAGTTATGATGGAACCTTTTATATTTAGGTCATGTATCCATGTGAAGTTTATCGTCATACAAGCTATGAGATGTTAGTCTAAACTTAATTTCTTACATTGTACTTTCCAGTTTTCCTAGCAGTTTTTTTTCAATAGTAAACCTTTACTATGAGGTAGGTGCTATTATTATCCCCATTTTATAGATGAGAAAACTGAAGATGACAGAGATTAAGTGATTTGCCCAGGGTCACAGAGCTAAAGGCCTGGGGAAGGATTTAACTCAGGTCTTCCTGCCTCCTAGTCTGGTGTTCTATCCACTAATTGAAACCCTGGATTAAGAAAGGCGAGCTTTTGCCTGGCCACCTCATCCTGCAGGCCATTCCCCATCTCCACCTTTTCCTACTTCCTCATCATCCGTCTTTACCTATTAGAATGTAAGCTTCTTTAGATCAGGGACTGTCTTGCCCCATCACTTAGCATAGTGCCGTGCACATAGCAGGCCCTTAATAAATGCTCTCTGTTACCTACTATTAGCTGTTATCATACAAGTGATCATTTGATGACATTAACTTATGTAGGATGAAGCAGTAAGGAGAGGTTTGCAATCTTTCTTGGAGTACTGGGGTTCAATACTGTCTATGTAATCCTTGCCATTCATTTAATTCCTCAGTGCTCTAAACAACTCCCCAAGACAGGGGTTCTTAACCTGGCGTCTGTAAATTTGTCTTTGTTTTAACAATTTTGGTAACTATTTCAATATAACTGGTTTGTTATATTGTTGTTTCCCTTTTAATCCTATGTATTTTCTGTTCTAAAAAACATTACTCTGGGGGCAGCTAGGTGGCGCAGTGGATAGAGCATCGGCCCTGGATTCAGGACGAGTTCAAATGCGCCCTCAGACACGTAACACTTACTAGCTGGGTGACCCGAGGCAAGTCACTTAACGCCATTGCCTAGCCAAAAAAACCCCATCACTCTGAGAATGGTCTACAGGCTTCACCAGAATGTCAAAGAGGCCTATGACACACACCAAAAAGGTGAAGAACTCCTGCTTTAAAGAGAAAGACTTGAATCACGTGCAGACACTTACTAGCTGGACACTTCACCCTGCCTCAGTTTCCTGACCTGTCGAACCGGGATAATAATAGTACCTCCTTCGCAGAGTTATTTTAAGGATTACAGGAGATAGTATTTGTAAAGGTCTCAGCATAATGGCTGGTACATTGTAATCATTTAATAAAAGGTGGTTTCCTTACTTCTTTCCTGCCTCTCTCCCTCCCTTCTCTCCCTTTCTTCCTTCTTGTTTTTCTCCCTTCCTTCCTCCCCTCTTCTCCTTCCTTCCTTCCCCTTCTCTCTTCTCTCCCTTTCTGCCCTTTTCTTCTCTCTCCCTTCCTTCTCTCTCTTCCTTCCTCTCTTCTTTTTCCCTTCTTTTCCTCCTTTCCTCCCCCTCCTTCTTTCTTTTCTTCCTTCCTTCTTCCCTTCCCTTTCCTTTTCTCTTCTCTCCCTTTCTTCTCTTTTCTTCTCTCTCTCCCTTCCTTCCCTCTCTTCCTTCCTCTCTCTTCTTTTTCCCTTCTTTTCCTCCTTTTCTCCCCCCTCCTTCTTTCTTTTATTCCTTAATCATAAATTGCAGAGAAGGTGCCCTGCCCTCCTGGGGCAGGAGGGGTCCTTTCTTTTCTTCCTTCCTTCTTCCCTTCCTTTTCCTTTTCTCTTCTCTCCCTTTCTTCCCTTCTTTTCTTCTCTCTCCCTTCCTTCCCTCTCTTCCCCTCTTTTTTCCCTTTTCCTCCTTTCCTCCCCCTTTCTTTTCTTCCTTCCTTTTTCCCTTTCTTTTGCTTTTCTCCTCTCTCCCTTTCTTCCCTTTTCTTCTCTCTCTCCCTTCCTTCCCTCTCTTCCTTCCTCTTTTTTCCCTTCTTTTCCTCCTTTCCTCCCCCTCCTTCTTTCTTTTCTTCCTTCCTTCTTCCCTTCCCTTTCCTTTTCTCTTCTCCCATCCTTCTCTTTTCTTCTCTCTCTCCTTCCTTCCCTCTCTTCCTTCCTCTCTCTTCTTTTTCCCTTCTTTTCCTCCTTTTCTCCCCCCTCCTTCTTTCTTTTATTCCTTAATCATAAATTGCAGAGAAGGTGCCCACAGGTGCTGGTAAAGGGTGTTTCCCCCCCCCCCGAAAATTCCCTTCCCTCCCTGAAATCGCAGGTCGATCCTAGACCTAGCTCACGCAGCAGACTATAGCCCCAGGAGGGCAGGGCCCACTCCCTCTCGAGGAGCGGAGGCCGCAGCTCCTACCACAAGCCCATTGCTTGGTAATCGGCCATCACTGACTCTCCTTCATCCCAAGTCTTCTCCCCGCCCCCGCGATAATTACTGTGGCCAGAGGGGCAGAGACTTCCCCTACAGCCGGTCCACCACATCACATTTCACCACGGGCTAGGTGCCCGGAGAGCCCAGGAGAAGCCTGTATCAGTGAAGCCGGCCCTTCTCCGAGGCGAGCTCCAGGGTCACCATGCAACCGTTCTAGGGCTCACCGCAGCTTCTTCCCCTGAGGCCACTCGCCCTCCCGCCAGGAGGTGGCGCCGTGACACGCGTCCGCCCTACCTCCCACGCCGGATGGATGGCTGCCTGCCGCTCTTCTTCTGCCCGACAGGAGCCTCGCAACCTCAGGAAGATGGCGGCGCCCAGCTACATGTGGTAGCGGCCGGTTGTCCCGAAGAGGAAGAAGCCATGAAGCGGAAGGCCGGCTCGGGCCGCCACGGCGGCGCGATGAAACGGCTGCGGCTGGCGGTGCAGGAGTTCGTGCATGCGACCGCAGGGGACGAGACCCCCGGCGGCGCGGAGGGTACGTGCCACGGCGGCAGACCGCGGGCGGCCCCGCGTCCCGGCGGGAAGAAGCGCCGCAAGGAGCTGAGGAAGGAGAAGCGGCACCTGAGGAAAGCCCGCCGGCTGCAGCGTACCGGGGGGCCGGCCAGGGCCCCGGGAGCCGCCGGGGAGAGACCGGGAAAAAAACAAAAGCAGGCGGGTGCGGCTGCGGCTGCGGTTCTGGCTCCAGCTCCGGCTGTGGCTCCGGCACCTGTTCCCGGAAAGCCGCAGAAACCAAAACAGCAGCAGAGGCCTCCGCCGGCCGAGGACAGGCCTCTCCGTGGGCCCACTCAGGCCCAGGCCCGGGGACCCGATGCCGCCGCCGCCGCGGCTCGGAAACGGGCGCTTCTGGAGGCCAACGAGGAAGAGGACCGCGAGATCCGGAAGCTGGAGCGCCGGCTGGGGCTGAGCAAGCGCCGCCAGAAGAAGAAGGGCGACGGCGGCCGCAGCAGCGGCTGTGCTAAAGCGGCTTTGCCGTCCAGTTTCGTCCGCGACGGCCTGGACTACATCCTCGGGGCGCTGGACGCCGGCGGCGGCTCCGCCTTGTACGAGGAGGAGGACGACGAGGACGGGGATGGGGAGGGGGCGCTGCTGCCCCGAGGGGGCGGTCTGGATGGGGACAGTGATAAGGGGGACTCGGGAGCAGACAGTGACGAGGGGGACGAGGAGGAGGAGGAGGCTATTCTGGAAGACGATCTCCAAGGAGAACAGGACGAGGAGGATGAGGACGAGGAGGAGGATGAAGAACAAGACGGCGCAGACACGCAGGTAGAGGCCGAGAAGGAAAAGAAAAAGAACAGGAAGAGGGTGCATTTTGCAGATGAGGATAGCGAAGATGCCTCTTCGGAGGATGAGAGCCCCACTAATGAGGTAAAGTGCAAAAACATCACCTTGTCTGTGAAGACTTTGCCTTTTTTTTTTTTACTTAAAGCATCCTTTTGGGTGGTGGTTTGTCTTTTAAGGTGTTCAATCCAACTAGCATTTATTAAGGTTCTGTATGTATTGGCCATTTACAAAGGATTTCATTAAAAGAATAGAAAGAAATTAGGGATAAATTTTCTATGAGGAAAAGTATTCGAAATTCATTTGCACCTTGCCTTTTGTCATATTCCCGTTGAACTATTAAAGAACTAAAAGTGAGTAGAAAATTTTCCCCATTGACCCTATCCCCATGGATGATGCCAAAATGAAACCCAAACATCCCCAGCCTACTGAAAGCTTACTATTTGTTTGTTTTGTTTTGGTGAAGCAATTGGGGTTAAGTGACTTGCCCAGAGTCACACAGCTAGTGAGTGTTAAGTGTGTGAGGTTGGATTTGAACTCAGGTCCTCCTGACTTCAGGGCTGGTGCTCTATCCACTGTGCCACCTAGCTGCCCCTGGAAGCTTATTTTCCAGTGGGATCTGGGTGGTACAACTTGTGTCCAAGTAAGTAGGTATAATTTAATGTCAAGAGAGTGCTGAAAACTAGGGAGGAACAAGTTCACAGTTGAGCAGTGCTTTGAAAGGAGCTGGAGATGTATCTATTTGATCCTACAGGATCATGTTTTCTAGAGGTGTGGGCCCTCTTAAAAAGTACACTTATTATCTATGATGATGACTGAATGAAAAAAAAAATCTATTAAATGTGAAAAGCACTGTGCAGCATCCTGGGGAAGGGGAAAGTAAGGCCATCTTTCCTTTAAAGAAGCTCTCATCCTGGTAGATGCAAAGATCAAATCATCATCCTAAAAATCTTGTAACACTTAACTGTGTGCCATTTTACAATTTCATTTGACCCTCACACAACAGCCTGGGAGGTAAGTGCTGTTGTTATCCTCAGTTTACAGATGAGGAAACTGAGACAGTAACTTGCCTGGAGTCACATATCTATTAAGTGTCTGAAGCTGGATTTGAACTGGGGTCTTCCAAACTCCAGGCCCAGTGCCCTATACACTGAACCACCTAGATGCCCCAATAGAGGAAGTTTCTGCTACAAGTCATGTGGAGCAGCAAGGTAGGTGCATCTTCATGAGTGTCGTTTTTATTAACAAAATGATACCATTTGCTGACATTGAACCATTGGATTGTACCAAGGACGATTTTGTCTTCTGGATTTTTGGTAAGTGGGGCTTCAGATGGAGTGGGGCCTTTGCACCTACTGGAAGCAGTTGCCACGTTGTATTTCTACAAGGAATTGCCCTAATTTATCAAATCTGGTGATTTATTGTGCAAGAGACAGATTTTTTGTTTCCTGTGTCATGGTGTTTTGGACAAATATTAAATTATTTCATGCTATTTTTGCTCTAGAACTATGTTAATGAATTGAAGGTGCTCTCTAGAACAGTGCTGTGCATGCAGTAAATTTAACATGTTCTTAATATGGAAGAATCTCTTCTATGTACCATTTACTCTGATTTAACATTGTATTCATGTGTGCTGTGATACTCAGATAAACTCAGTGAGCACAAGCTGGTATAATAGAAGATATTAACATGTGCATTGGTGTGAAGCAGGCCACTGTTGAGAACTAGATATCCGCTCTATAAATTCTTCATGTTTTGTTAATTGTCACTAAAAATTAATATGTAGTTTATAGGAAAATGATTCATAAACTTTAATGCCCTAAGTGAATGTTTGTTGTTGTGCCTCTGTGTTGTAGATAGATCTGAACTTGCAATCAGAAAAAGTCAAAATTTGGTTTGAATCCCAGCTTTGACATTTTACCTCTGTGACCCTGAAGAAATCATTTCATCCCTCTGAGCTTCAATTTCCTTGGTTAAAATGGAAACAATAGTACTTGTACTACCTACCTCAAAGTTTTTGTGGGGGATGCCCTTTATAAAACTTAAGGCACTTCGTAAATGTGAGTCCTTATAGCCTTTCCCATTAATTTTTAGCTTTTTAATACTTTAATGGGATTATGACAAAAAGGCAATTTGCAAATGAATTTTGGATTTTTTTCTAATAGAAAATTTATCTCACTAATTTATTTCTATCCTTTTAATTAGGTTCTTTCTAAAAGTGCAAAGTATATCCCACCTCATGTGAGAAGATCTGAGGAAACAGTGGATGCCAAAAAGAAGGAAGAACTAGAAAGGTTAAAGAAAAATGTGAAAGGTCTAATTAACAGGTAATATATCTCAGTTCTTGAGGACTCTATTTTGTGTCTTGAAATTAGCCAAATTGTTCATTCTCCACGGAGATATAGAACATTATTTTTAAGTTAATTAAATTTTAAACAGCAGGCAGGAAAAACGATTAGATTATTATTGAATACTTTTTCTACAGGGAAAGCAGCACATTCTAAGCCATGAGTTTTCAAGTTTTGTTCATCCTGTGAATCCTCCTCCTCTCTGAGGCTCCCATCTCTACTCTCTCCCTCTATCCTAGCCAAAAAAAGCCTAAAGTAGATCACATACTACAAATCACCCCCAGCCTCCTTTAGGAAGGATAGATAGAAATTGACCTTGTCCCCTTCTGGGAGGAAATCAGAAAATGTGTGGTTTTAAAAATCATCTCTTATTAAGTAAGTGTTTGTTAAAGAGTTTCCTGAGAAGTTCAGGGAGTTGCCTATGATATCAAAGCTAGGGTCACAGGCGAGAATTAAATCCTGTGTCTTTCCACTCTACAAGTCTCCTTTCTGTGAAGCTACAGTAGTAGCTTTGACTCAGATTCAGAGAGCACCAGCATTCCCACCTCTGCCTGGGAACATCACTCTCTCCTCAACTCCCCACCATAATACCTTTTGCTATCCTTTTCTGGTTTTAGGTTGTCATGTGTAAAAACACAATGTGTTTTTTATATGTTGTGTACATGCATCCTAAGACGTATGCAATTCCTCTTGTTTTCCTTTGTTGTTATTGTTGACATCATTAAAGAACAAGAATGGAATAATATTAATTAGGTCGATTTCTACTTCAGACTCCCTACCCACAAAGATTTTAAGAAATGTAATTTATATGAGGAGACCGGGACAGAGAAGGTATGGTGTCTCTGAAATCCAGGCTATGCATAGGTCAATGAAAAAGAAGCAATTCTGCTCTATATGGTTACATGTTAAGAAAAGACTATTGTATGTCTTACTGACAGGGTGGCACACTGGTTAGGGAGAAATAGTTGAACATTGTTTATGGGGAGTTTTTGTGGGTACTTTAAAAACTACAAGGTTTTATTCTGTATTATACTATTCTAGAGCTCAGTGTAATCAATAAGATCCTGACACAAGGTCCTTGTTGGCCTCCTGGTTTTTTGTTGTTGTTGTTTGTTTGTTTTTTGGGGCAGTTGGGGTTAAGTGACTTGCCCAGGGTCACACAGCTAGTAAGTGTCAAGTGTTTTGTCTGAGGTGGCATTTGAACTCAGGTCCTCCTGACTTCAGAGCCAGTGCTGTATCCACTGCGCCACCTAGCTGCCCCATGGCCTCCTCTTCTTTAAAAATAAATGAGCTTAATCTCTCTTCTCAGCTCTCCTCAGTTTAAGTTCTAGAGCAAGAATTCTTAACCTGGTGTCTGTGACCTTGTTTTTTAAAATAAAAAATTTTTTTATAACTGTATTTCAGTATGATTGGATTCCTTTGTAATCATATATATTTTGTTTGTTCATTTAAAAACATTTCTGAGAAAAGGTCCATAGGGTTCTTCAGGCTGTCAAAGAGATCCATGACACCAAAAAAATTAACTCTAGACCTGTGGAGGTCTTTCTGTATCCCAAAGGTAAAAGGCTGAAAGACAAAATTAAGTATACATTATCCTTGGATGCTCCTTTGCAGCACTCAGGACGTAATTTTAAAAGAGGACTATATATGGACCTTTGTTATGCCAAGAGGAGAATCTCAAGGCATTATGTTCAGCAGAAGGATGAAAGGGAGAATGACTGTGAATGATTCCATTATGCTAGCCTCAGTATAGCATTCTTTCTGTAATGATATCTGTAACGTGTACTATAAAGAGTGCACTACTTTGAATAATATATTTATTATCTTTGAATAATATATTCAATATATTAAAAATTCTCCCAGTGGAATACAAGTTTCTTGAAGGAGGGAATTTTATCTCTCTATACTCAGTACCTTTCATTAAGAGTTTAGTAAGTATTTCTGAAATAAAAATAAAAGTTAGTTTAATTGAATGTTTAGTATCTGTTCATAGTAACCCTTTTCAAAGTAAGATAAAAGTATTCTAAATGGAAAAAATACTTAGAATTAAAAAGATATGGTGTTTTGTTTTGTTGGGTTAACTTGCATCCAAGAGCTTTTTAAATAGAAAATAAAATTTGAAGCTCTTAAGTACCAAAATTAAGATTAATAGTCTTGAGAGGATCCACAATTTTATAAGTTAACATGAAATAAGTTTTTGAAAAGAAACACAATTTTTACTATAGGTTGAGTGAACCTAACATGGCTTCTATAAGTGGACAGCTGGAAGAGCTATACATGGCAAACAGTAGAAAAGATATGAATGACACTTTGACAGATGTTCTTATGAATGCTTGTGTAACTGAAGCTGTGATGCCTGCCAGACTGATGATGGAACATGTCCTTTTGGTTAGCATTCTTCACCACACTGTAGGAATTGAGGTAAGATGTTTTTGCCTTTCTGATTTTTCTTCATATATCTTCACTGTATTAAAGTTATATCAGCCCATTGTTTACATTCTTTCTTGTTGAGAATATTTCCTAAGTTCAAATATAGCCTCCAACACTTACTGCCTGTGTGACTGGGCAAGTCACTTAACCCTGTTTGCCTCAGTTTATTCATCTGTAAAATGAGCTGGAGAAAGAAATGGTAAAGCACTCCAGTATCTTTGCCAAGAAAACTCCAATGGGGGTCACAAAGAGTCAGACATGACAAATGATTCAATAACAACAAAAACAGTCCAAAACACATCATAGATGTTCAAATCGATTGCTCAAATAATACTTATTGATTAGCTGTTCCCAGTTTTCCATTCTATCTTGTCTAGTTCTTTGTATGTTACTCTGAGATTTCATAGATTTCCTTAGTTGAAAGGGACCTCAAAGTTTGTCTAAGTCAAACCCTTAACTGAAGTGAGGACCTTTCCTAAACAGAGTGGTCATCTAGCTTTTGCTTGGACATTTCCCTTAAAATTCTGAGACTGCTATTCTACTTTTGGACAGTTCTAATTGTGGCAAGCCACTCCAGTATCTTTGCCAGGAAAACCCCAAATGGGTTTATGAAGAGTCAGATATGACTGAAAAACAGCTGAATGGGAAATTTTTGTTTATATCAAGCTGAAATCTGCCTGCCTGTAAGTTCCATACTTTGGTCTTAGTTCAGCCGTCTGAGTTCAACTAGAACAAGTCCAACTCCTCTTCCATAGGACAACCCTTCAAATATCTGAAGACAGTTATCCCTTAATTAGGCTTCTTTTATACAAGCTAAACATTTTCCATTCCTTCATTTGAATTTTATATGGTATGGTTTCAAGTTCCCTCAACCATCATAGTGATTCTTACTTGAATTATCCTCAAGCTTATTAAGGTCCTTCCTAAATGTGTCACCCCAAACTGAATTCCAGACATTATCTGACTAGGACCTTGTAATGGGAATATCACTTCCTTCATTCTAGGTACTGTGTTTCGGTTAATACAGCATAAAAATCACTTTAGTTTTTCTGACAGACATTTTTACACTCATTTAATATTTTAATTAACCCAAACCCAAAGGTACAGTGGTTTGCTTTTTTTTTTTCCTTTCCCCAAGAACTATCTCTTCCCTCCTGTATTTGGACGGTTGATTTTTTTTTTTAACCCAAGTGTAGGACATAGTTATCCATATTACATTTAATCTTAAACAGGCATTTATTAAGTGTTTGCTTTGTGGCAGACTTTGTACTGCATATTTGGAATACAGAGGCAAGAATGAAAGTCCTCAAGGAATTGACAGTGTATTGGAAGGAGATAGGGTGTTAAGTCAGATAAGCAGATCCCCAATACAAATAAGGGTTTAGCCCATTACCACAGCTCATTATGACCTTTTTGGATTCTAGATTTTCCCACCCACTGTGTGGCCATGCTTCACAGCTTTGTGTCATCTCTAAATTTGATAAGTTTGCTATCTATACTTTTAGGTCATTGATAACAATTTTTAGCACGGGGGCAAAGGACAGAGCTTTTGGTCACTCTCCTAACAGCTTCCCTTCCTACTGACTCCTTAACTTGTAATTGCCTTGACTTTCTTGTATTTTGTCCATTCTGTTTATGTCCATATTACTTTAGTATTTTAATCGATTTGTTTTAAGTGTTCTTGTAGGCATCTGTGTAATTTTGCTGTTACCTTTACCTAGTCACCCATTCTCAAAACCTTAATGTTACCTTTGCTTCTTCTCTTTCTTGTCAAGTCCAGTGAGTTGCCATGTTCTTTCATAACATCTTGCATCTTTATCTTCATGTCTTTCCTGCTCTGCACTGAAATACAAGTCATCAGTGCTTCCTGCCTAGACTATACTTAAGAAGCCTCCTTGATAACCAGCTTCTCTACCTTCATACTTGCCCCTCTCTAATCCTTCCCTTACCCCCAGGCAGATAGATATTAATCTTCCTTATGCATACATCTAATCATGTTTTGCATCTACTCAGTACTCTTTAATGATTTTCTATTACCTGCTAAATAAAATCTTAAGCCATTAGGGTGGCATTCAAGGTTCTACGCAATCTGGAAGCACCTAGTGCTTTCAGTTCAACTCCATAGACAAGTATTGACACTGTGCACTAAAGATGCAAAGATTAAAAACAAAGCAGTTCTGTCTTCAAGGAGCTTAGATTCTATTAGAGGGAATACAGCATGTACAAAAAGTAAATATAATAGAAAAAATTAGTATGACAGTACTAACACCTGGAGGAATCTAGGAAAGCTGCATGGAGTAGGTGGCGCCTAAACTGAGTCTTTAAGGACCCAGGTAGAGATGAAGATGGAATGCATTCCAGGCATGGGAGATGGCTTATTTTATAGGCAATAAGGAACCAAGCCTTATTTTGTCATTTTCCCTGCCACATATTCTTTGCTTTGGCCAAATTGTACATTGCTCTTGGCTCAATTTTCTAACACCTAACTACTCAAAAAGTAGCTAACTACTAGGTTCTAGGGTAAAACTCTGAAAGTTTGGGAAATGGTTTTCTAGTACCATAGCTCTAAAACCCCCACTGGTGTGTCCCCCTACTGATTATCACTTTATCAATTAGCCAGCCAGACTTAGCTTATACTAAGGTAATATATATTAAGAATAGTTGGTATAACTAGAATGTCTTTCACTCCTTTGCCACCTGTTTGAAATCCTGCTCATTCTTCAAAATGCTCCTCAAATTTTGTCTTTTACATGAAGTCCTCTCTGAGCTTCCTCCTCAGAAATATTTTTCCTTTGACTTCCTGTAGCAGTTTGTACCAATCTCATATTCTCTTCTACACAGTAGTTGTATTTTTATTATATAATATTTCATACTGTGGATGTGTCATATCTCCTCTGTTACAATCTGAACACCATGAAGTTGGAGCCATGTTTTAATTATCTTTGTTTCTCCTCAGCACCTGACACAGTATTTTCTGTGTGTTAAAATGCTTAACAAGTGGTTAGTGAGTGAATAAGAGAAAAGCAAATCAAAGTGTATAAGTAATTTCTGTTGTGAATAATCTGCACATAAATGGTTGGTAATTAATTCTATGTTCTAAATTATCTTCTATTTCTGGGAGGCATACTCTTTTCTTTAGTACTTTAATGTTGTAAGCCAGTTCTTCCTGTCCATTATGAAATGTAATGAAACACCTGAATGCCATTCTTAGTAACTTTTGATTGCAGTCATACAGTGCTATTATATGGCCATTTCTGGACTTGCTTAGGTCTTCCTAAATCACATTGTTACACTTTTGAGCAAAGTTACTACCAGGTTTTAGCACTGATAGCTTAGCATTTCGGTGAGTTATGATAACAATGGACAATGACCATTCACTGCGTGTTGAGGATTTACTTTATCTGCAAACATGAGATTATTAGTCATACTTATCGTCTGTACCTTAGCTAATAGCATGAAAGACAGTTGAAATTACTTGTTCCAAAGGGGAAGTCATTACTGCAGCTTGGCTAATGACATCCACTGAAGCTCTTGCCAAGGTATAATGAGCTATTTCAGGATGCTAGTTCCATTAAACTTTCTTTTAATTCTGTAATGGCAGAAACATCCTCACAGGAACCCATACAAAAATGTATTAAAGACCAAGGTGTCATTTGATGAAATATTTTTTATTGGTCTTTTCTGAATTAAAATTAAATTCCGGATGGATGTAAACTTTCTTAAATTTCCCATATTAAATAATGTGTGAAGTTGAATAAACTTTTAATTCTTCTAATTATTCATGTAGTAATGTTGCTGTTCTTCATATAGTTGTAATGTTGGACTATGTTCAGTTTCCTTCTCAGATTTTATTTCTAGTGCATAATTTTAAAATGCAAGCTTAAAATTAAGCTTTAAAATTCTGTTTTGTATTTAAATCCATTCAAAACCAGAAAGTACACATATGAATGTTTCTTTGTGTCTGCATAATTCTACTTTTCCTTTTATGTATTGTGTTTGCTAAAAGATTGAGTTCACATCAAATGGCCTCAATGTCCTTAGCCACCTTTTCCTTTTTTTCTCTCATTCTCACAGAGGAAGAGATAGCCCTCTAACTTGTGTAAACTGACTCCTCCTCTTGGGTCCTTAAACATCTCATTCTGTTCTGTAACCTTGTCCCATTAGTCATTCTTTCATACATACTCAGTCTCCTCCCTCTCTTCTGGTTTCTTCCTCACAATCTGTAGGCAAGATACGTCTCCCCTTTTCTATAAAGGTCTCCCTTCCATCCTTTGATCTCCTCTAACCATTCTGTTTTTCCTCTTTCTCTTTACTTGTAAGCTCTGGCAATAACAACTAGAACAGCTCTCCCCAAGGTGAACGATGACCCTCACTGCTAAATCTAATGGCCTCCTTTCCGAAATCCTGTTGACCTTCCTATGACTTCTGCCTTCTTGATACTTCTGTTCTCTTGGCTTTTATGACACTGTGTTCATAATCCCCTCTCCCCACACCCAAGATCCACTTTTCTATTTCTGAAAAAGACAGAAACCCCTCTCAGCCACTTAGCTTCATGATCTCATAGCCTTTTTCTCTCCAGTCTCTTGTTTTAACTCCATGTGAATCTTTGTTTCAAATGTGTTTCTGGTGAACAACCTGTTGTTAGATTGTGCTTTCTAATCCATTCTACCATCCTCATCTGTTTATACGTGAGTTTATCTGTGTATTTCCTTCCATCTTCTTATGATTTTTCTTTTGCCTCCTCTTTACAAAGAAGAAGAGGATGGTGAGAGAGAAGGACTATATGTTCAACACCAATGCTCTGGATTTGGTGTCATCTGCTTCTGCTCCCCTGCCTCTTCACCTCTTTCCCTCACCCAGGGCCTAATCATTGGTTCTTTTCCTTACTTTTAAACCCCTCTTCAAGATCCACTCTCCTTCGTTAGACTTTGTTTTACTTAGGACTGATTCTTTTCTTACTGGTTTTTTTCCCTCTTCTATCTCCTCTTTCTCTCCAGTTCCACTGCTGAGGGAATTCTGTTTCCGTGTCCAGTTCTGTGTGTATTTGTATTCCGTCCTTTGACCAGTTGATATGAGGGTGAGGCTCACCCCTTCTGCTTTCCCATTCTGATCATACGAGGTCATTTCCCACACCGTTATTCTCCCTTTTCTCTCCCTCATGTATTCCCTTTCCATTCCCTTTCTGTTGTTCTTCTTAGAGCACCCCCTCGTCCCGCATCCTGTTGGATTCTTTCTGTGACCCTTGGTGATGATAAGGTTCCCAGGGGCTGCATGTATCATCTCACATTAGAGCACAAACCCGAGGGAGGGAGCCTGGGGCCTTTTGACAATCCAGATTTTACAGAACAAATCCTCTTAATAAAGTCAGGAAGACCAAAGTTCACATTTGGCCTCAAACACTTACTTAGCTGTATGACCCTGGGCAAGTCACTTAACCTCTGTTTGCCTTAATCCGTTGGAGAGGAAATGGCAAGCCCCTGTAGTATTTTTGCCAAGAAAAGCCCACAGACAGTATTGGCATGCTATATATATAGTACATGAAGAGTCAGACATGACTAAGTGAACAACAGTCAAACTAGATTGTTGCATGAATACGTCACAAACTTTCTTTTAAAAAAATTTTTTCTTGGGCAGCTGGGTGGCGCAGTGGATAGAGCACTGGCCCTGGAGTCAGGACGATCTGAGTTCAAATTCAGACACAGACACATAACACTTACTAGCTGTGTGACTCTGGGCAAGTCACTTAACCCAAATTGCCTCACCAAAAAAAAAAAAGAAAAAAGAAAAGGAAAAATAGTTTTTCTAATTAAGAAAAATCTATGGGTTTTTTCCCTCTCCCACTGTTGGGGGATAGGAAAGAAAAGTAAAATATCTGTAATAAAAATGCATAATAAAGCAAAAACAAATTGACCATGAACTTTCTATAATCCTCTCCTTCCTCTTTTCCCCAATATTGGTGACAATCATTTCCCTTAGACATCACTTTAGCACGTTGTTTTATACCTCTCCTGTTCACTTATGTCATTTTGTGTATTAGGGTTATTTACACTTATGGCTTCCTTACTTGATTAATAAACTTGATGAGGGCAGGAACAATATAATACTATAACAAGCTTCTATAACACTTGCGTAGTATTCTGCACACAGTGGGTACTGAATAAATGTTTGATGAGTTTGAATTTGATTGAAATTGACCTGAAATTAAAATCAGTATATATGTGAAAATTATTCTGAGACATTTTTGTTTAAATATTTCAGTACTAGTTTTTAGGGAGTAGTACAATCTTTTAAAAGAAAACTGAATCTCAGAGAAATATTCTGCATATATTTTTACTGTTTCAGATTCTGAAAAATTTTTTGTTATTAAATATCTGTGTTATATAAGGCATTGTACAGATATACTTAACACTAGAGATTAAGGTGTTCTGTTGAAGCTTCCATTCAATGCTATATATTTTGTATGTGTTCATGAGAAGTATTTTAAATTTGGTTAACAAAAGGGGAACCCGAGAAAATTTTACTCTTTTTTTATGTACTTTTTTTCTTCTTAACTATTTTCAGGTTGGTGCTCACTTTTTGGAAGCTGTGGTGAAGAAATTTGATGAAATACATAAAACTGGTAGTGAGGGAAAAGAGTGTGACAATCTCTTTGCCATAATTGCCCATCTATATAACTTCCGTGTGGTACAATCTCTACTCATCTTTGACATTCTGAAAAAGCTTATTGGAACTTTCACAGAAAAGGACATTGAATTGATTCTCCTAATGCTGAAAAATGTTGGTTTTTCCTTGAGAAAAGATGATGCTTTGTCCCTGAAGGACCTGATCACTGAAGCCCAGACCAAAGCCAATGGAATAGGCAAGAAGTTCCAAGATCAAACTAGGGTATGATAGCATAATTGAACAGCATAATTACACTTGATGAGAATTAGTGAAAAAACAACTTTTGGTGAGCGATTAGATTTAATTTTCTGTAGATAATTCATGTAACTCTTTACTTCAACTCATTTTATAAATTAGTTTTAACATATGGGAAGACCCAACTCCTTAAAATTGCCAGACTGCAGATAAATGTGAGTCTGAAATTTTAAATCTGACTATGATCAACAACTTTCTTTGTTTACATAATGAAAGGCTTTTGTACCCTAGTGACATTTAATGATGTTGACTTGATTTTTGAAGTCTAGTTCAGAACAATTATAAATGGTTATATTAATGCAAATTAATGCAAATTCCTTATATCGTACCCTAAAGAAAAGAATTAATATAATGAATCACAATATATATATATATGCATACAGAGATGTGTTTTCTACCCATTTAAGTAATGTACTGTTCACTATAGTTTTAAGTGTTTTTCTCTCTCTCTCTTTTTTAAAGATTCGATTCATGCTTGAGACTATGTTGGCACTAAAGAATAATGACATGCGCAAAATTCCAGGCTATGACCCTGAACCTGTGGAGAAACTAAGAAAACTGCAGAGAACATTGGTAAAAAAAAAAAAAAGTGTAATGTTAATTTACATTTTAGATTACTTTGCCAGTTAACTCTATACTAAAGTCCTACTCTGATGCCTCATTTAGGCATGGAGGTGACCTCATGTCTTTGAGGCTATTCCATTGCAGGTCCTATTAAACTAGAAAGGCTCCACATATGAGCCTGAAGAGAAGATGTGTTTGTGGTGTGAGGACCAGCCTTGCTAATGTGAGGGACAATAAATACATCGGGATATATTTTTTGTTGTTGTTGTTGTTTTAGTGAAAGTAAAAGACGAGTCCATTAAGTTGCAGAAGTTTTCTGCATTGGACAAAGTAATTCTCAGTGAGGAAATTAGATATGCTTAAAATATTGAAGTATGTTGGTTGATATATACCCTTGATTATAGACTCCGAAGTCAGGCTATAGAAAGCAATAATTTTAGTTAAGATTAAAGTCTGCATCAATTTCACAGGGTACAAGTAAGAATTGTTGAAATCATAATTGTGACTGCTGCAGATCTCTAGTCATAGTGACTAGTCTAATCGTCTCTTTAATCTGTTTTGATACTGTTTACAGCAATAATCAATCTAAAAATCATATATTAAGCAAATCTTGAGTGGACTAATATTGGAGACTAATGGCAGACCTCATCTGTCATTTTGCAGTGTGGTCTAAATGAGAAGAGCCAGTTTTGGTCTACCACTTTAAACAAGCTAATCCCTGGTAGTCATTTAGGTTAATATCACTTAAATGACATTTCTGATTTGAATTTTATAAGTAATTCAATATAAATACATGTTTATAAGTCTATTTTAATTGCAGTAGAGGAATTCTCATTATGAAAGGTTCTTTTGTAGTATAAATTATTATTCCCTAATGTCTCTCTTTGGCAAGTTTGGTTATTTGTAATTTTTTTAAGTGGAGTCTAATTAAACTTCAGCAAAATGGTGCTGCTTGTTTTTATTGGCCACCTAATTAATGTGATTATTGAGATTATAGGGGTTAACAAATGTATAATATTACCGCTTGTTAGAAAACTTCCTTTACAACCTTATTTTTTAATTAAGAAGGTAATTGGGCAACAGACAAGTTGACTCCCCATTTTGAGACCGTTTTCATACGTTAGGGGAGAATAGCAGAAGGAAAACAAAAAGACTGATTTTCCCAGTCATAGAACTTGGTTTTATCCCTGAGCTCTACCATACAATTTGTGAAATACAAGATAATGATAGCTCTTATAGCTGTATTGACAACTTCTTTGTCTTTTTCACTTTTTTTGTTATTCTGAAATGTGTGAGTGTGAGCCTCACAGATTGTCTGCTGGTATTATTGTTAAAGTCCTTTGGAATGATGGTGACAAATATTAAGTAAAAACAAAGCTCTATAAGCTTATTATCTATATCCTTTTTCTTTTTTTGTTCTCTATTTAGTAGAGACTATAATTTTACTAATTTTTGGAATGATGGCATTTTTAATCTGGTAAAAGACCAGAAAACTCTTAAATTATGCTTCCTACCTTCTAGATTTTATTCTGCTTTTAAGTCTAAAAAGACTTTTACTAAATAATTTAATTGATGTCTGAAAGCACTACATTTCTTAGGCATGTATAATATGTGGAATATATATTATAGGAGTTTTTCATTTCACTTTCAAAAGAAGAAAGTAGCTCGTTAAAGAGTTTTCCATAATTTAAGAATGCATATTTTTAGCCAAACCTATGATTTAATTGGTACAGGGAACTCCAAGAGAGGCAGTTTCTTCTACTAGAACAAATCTTACAGTCTTGAAGTATTACGTAGGGATACTAAGCTGTTTAGTGACTTAATCAGGGTCTGTGTCAGAGGCAGAGTTTCAGTATGTCTTCCTAACTCAGAGGATAGTTCTCTGCCATGTCATACTGTTTCTTGTACCCTTAATAATGACAAAAACCTTTTTGCACACTGCTTATAGAAAAGTATGGCAAAGGGCATGAGAGCACTAGACTTGAAGTCTGGAAGACTTCAAGAAGCTTCCAATCCTGCCATTGACACTTATTAGCTTTGTGACCATATCATATTACTTAATATTTCTGTGCCTCAGTCACCTCACTAGGTCTTAATCTGCTAAGTTATTGACAAACTGTAATTTTCATTGATAGAGAGAAGTATTACAAGAAAATTCCCTACAGATCCTTCAAATATTGTGTATTTTTACTGCTATAGTATTACTAATACACAGTTAACACAAATACCAGTAAACTAACAGTTGAATCAAACATAGGGTAGCCAAACTCTAACCAAACATCTCCAAAATATTAAATTCACCAAGAATTGATGTCATCCTGGGATTACGTAGTTTTTTAACCATTTCAGAAATCTCTAAATTATTTAGAGCAGGGATTCTTAACCTTTTTTGTGACATGTACCCCCTTGGCAGTCTGGTAAAGCCTGGGGAATCTCTTCTCCAAGTAATGTCTTTAAATGCATAAAATAAATTACATAGGATTATATAAAGGAAATCACCTATATTGAAATAGTTATCAAATTGTTCACAAGATAAGTTCATAGATTCTTGGTTAAGAATACCTTCTTCAGAACATCAGACAACACTGAGCAATATAAATTGGCTGTTACAAGGTAGTTCCTACTGTTGTTAATGTAGCTCTCAGGTCTGATTAAAGGAGCATGCATATGTATATCTAGGCAAGAAAGCCTCTAAAACTTAAATCTTAATAGAAGCTCTTGAAAGAGTTTTAACATTTATTTTTATATAATGAGTCTTTATTGAATATATGTGATCTGTGCTTGGTATATCAAATGTCTTGTTTGTGTGCTGATTAATTAGGCAACCTACCCACCAGTCAGGGTAAAACTCCTACCCGGTTATTCACTTGCTGGCAGTAACAATATTTGAACCCCTTCTGCCTCATATCTTTTCACCTAACAACCAAGAACAGGTCTCAGTGTTTTATTTCTGCCTTAAACAACTAGCATCTCATCCCTTCTGAGGACCTATTGTCTTCTTGGGGAAGTGTATGTTTGCTTGTTCTGTCTCAAGGTGTTCAGGAATATCCCTTTCAGTGGATTGTAGACGTAGGGATGTTACCATGCATTATTATATACTAGTTAAACTTCTTTTTTAAACGCAAAGAATAAGCTGACATAATCAAGCATACTACTGGAGAAACCACCTTCTATATGTTTAATATCTGTAGACAAATTGGCAAATTCGTAAGTTCAGTTCTTATTTGCTCTTCTGCTTTTCAGGCAATTTATTTCTTGGTTTTAAGTAAGGTCATCTTTGAATAAGGCTGTTAAGGGTTAAAAGAAAATGTTTCACTTTTATGTTCTTACTATCCATGGAGGCATAGTCTCAAAATAGCTAATGATATGCTTTGCAAGAGTTGGATAATTGTTCTGCTTAGTTGATATTTGCCTTTCCATAGAAAAATGAATCCAACATCCCTTCGTATAATATAAACGGTTTCCATTTCCATTCCATCTCTGCATCAGATTGCAAATTATAAAGACAGATTTGAGAGGGGGGAGCAAACTGTACTGTTTTGCTAATAACCAGTATCCTCACATGATTTTCTGTAACTAATTTTCTCTAGAGCATGAACACTGGACAGTAATAGGATTGTAGAAGAAGGCCTGAAAAGGACCTGAGAGGTCACAGAGTCCAAACTTCTCCTTTTACAAATAAGGAAACTGAAGCCCAGAAAAATAAAGTGACTTTTGCAAGGTCACACAAGCAAGCAGTAAGCAACAGAGCCCAGATTTGAACCCAGATCCTTTGTCTCTAAGGCTAATGCCCTTACCACTATACCATGCTGACTTTGCAGCGATCTGGGAATTTGACTCCTCTCTCTTAATAGTAGCTCCAAAGGGGCCTTGAGGCCCACACTTCAAGCCTTACTTAGTATGATCCTCTTAATGCAGAAAAAGTTTTCAAAAACAGAGACTAGAAAGGCAGAGAATGTCTGTACTGAAATTTAACACTGACTTTTCTTACCCTGGTATTTATGAACTTGTTATTTTAATATTTTGATAACTATATGTTAGTATAATTGGTTTCCTTTGTAATCCTGTGTGGGTTTTTTTTTAATGTATTTAAAAACATCATTCTGAGAAGGGTTCCGTAAGCTTCACTAGACTACTAAAAGCGTACATAACACAAAAACTGTTTTAGAACCCCTGCTATTAACCAGCCCTGAATGAATATACACAATCACATTCACATTCATGTAGTATCACTGAATTTGAGGTTTCCCTTGTGGTGGTAGGGGGACCTCAGAAAGACTTAACCCCTAGAAGCATAGGGTTACAGAATATAAACTCTGGCATAACTAGTGAAGTTGGAAATAGAAATCTGATTATTAGTGGGGAGGATAGGTTCCTTCATAAGATTGATTTCTGTATTTGAGTTAACAGTATGTTTTTGAATTCTTCTGTGAGAATTAAGTTAAAAATATATAAGTAAACCCAGTAATGAAAAGTTCTAGCGAAGTAGACTAAAGCCATCAAATTAAAGTAGGTATTCCAAATGGAATAAAATGTGGGATTAGAATATAATCTGTACACATACATTATGTTCACTGCCATGATTAAATTATTATTTTGATGTTTTAAATGTAGTTAATTGGTTCCCCAAATGCTGTCATTTTTAAATGTCCATGAACTAGCTGTAAGAATATGTTAGTGTAAAATATAAACCAACTTTAAAAATCTACAATGAAAATTGTTTCATTTTAAAAATAGATTCGAAACAGTGGTTCTGGTAAAGAAACTCAACTTCGAGTCTCCTGGGAAAGCCTTTTGAATGCAGAGCAGATTGGCAGGTGGTGGATTGTAGGATCATCATGGAGTGGAGCCCCAATGATTGACTGCAACAGTTATAACCAGCAGAAACAGCTTAAAGGAACGGTAAACTGAACCAATAATAAGGGTCCTTCTTTGAATTTCATTCTTATTATGCTAGTCTATTTACATTTCCTCTAAAATGTAAACTTTTTAGAAGAATGACTGACATGTATAGCTTTTATCTCTTGCACATAGTAGGCCCTTAATAATTCTTGAATGAATAAAATTATGCAAATACACACATATCTTTGAAAACTAAAAGAATAATCTCTAATTTTCTCATTCCAAAGTAGAACCACACAGTGATCAGTTTGTTTGGGTGTTTTTAATTATGAAATGTGCTTCCTGTAAATATGCAGGCTTTCATTGTACTAGAACATTATTGTTGGAAGGGACCTTAATGATTATAGTTAAAGAAGTTAGAGTAGGTGACATAGAGAGAAATATAATACTGATCAGAGTAAGTAGTTTTGAGTCTTGAAAGGTCTTTTGTTAATACAAACATTTTTAAAATCTTTATTTTAGTTCATTGATTTCATGAGTCACATAAACTGTACTGTTAGCATGTAAGCTTTTCTCAGTCAAGCATGATATCCATCTATTCCTACTGCTTTCTCTAAGTCTTTTCCTGTTTCTGTCTTTCCCTCTCATTTTAAGGCACCAGCAGTTTAAGTGATTGTTTCTTTCCTCATTGAAAGGTTTCATTTATAAGACTAAATCATTTATGTCCAGGCTATTCAGTTCAGCAAAGTTTTGAGGACCTGCTAGTACCAGATTTTTTTTTTCTAGTTGCATTAGTTATGTCTATGTAACCCACGATTTGTAGCTTTTAAACTTTGTACAGGAAAGTGGCAGTGTTTGATTAGTTTTTTAATGCTATGGGCTTTCACTAGTAGCTTTTGATTTTATTACTTAGGACCAAATTTCTCCTTATACTTTATTTGGGGGTCAGGATGCAAAAAAAAAAATTACACAAGTTTTTTTGCTAGAGACTTATATTTTAGAAGCTTCCATAATCCAAGGTATGCACAAACTCATGGATTTTTCCTTAGGGTCTCATAAGAAAAAAAGAATCTTTGTTAAAATATGCTTATTAGCCATGGCTTATTTTTTATTCTTTCAAGGTTAGTTCAAAGATACTAGAGCTTGCCCGAAAGCAGAGAATGAACACTGATATCAGAAGAAATATTTTTTGTACATTGATGATTAGTGAAGACTTTTTGGATGCGTTTGAAAAGCTTCTAAAGTAAGTACATATATGAATTTTCAAGTTTCTTTTGTAATTTGACTATTTTTGTCTCAGACTAGAGCTAAATCAAAGAATTGTTGGTCCTTTCTGATCTTCAAACTGAAAACGTTCATTGGCTGAGGATATTTGCTTTACTTGACTATAATATTTATTATGTGGGTTTTCTTTTCCTTTTCTTTTTTTTAATTGAAGAGAATAGTATCAGGAAAAAGAATAAATATTTGTTAAAGTGCATTAGTCCTCTTAAGGACTAATTAGTCTTAAGAGGTACTGTATATACCAAACATTTGAATTTTTGATTAAGGATGAGCTTGTAGTAAAAACCTTACATTTATTATGAACATGAATTATATTATGTAGTACTTTGATCTAGATGGTTTAATGGGTTGAACAGACCCATTACTATGGAAATTTTGCACTGTTCCTTTCCTCCTTTTTATAAAAACTAAATACCTCGGTTCAGTTTACTTTCTAGCAATTGTCTTTCTTCTCCCAGTGAAGTACAGTACAAAACTTTAAGTTAATTGAGGAGTCTACTGTTTAAGTTTTTTATTTTGAGATAAAACATTTACTTCACCAAATCTGGTGCTTTCTGTTACATAAAACAGAAAGCATTCACTTTACATCGGTTTGCCTCAATTTCTTCAACTGTAAAATGAGAATAATAATAATAGTACCTACCTCCCAGTACTGTTGTGAAGTTCAAATGAGGTAATAATTGCAAAGCACTTTGCAAACCTTAAGAGTGATATAGAAATGCTACCTGTCATCAGTATCATCATTATCATCAAATGTGCCACTCTTCTAGGTCTTTTAACATTTCTAGGGTACCAGTACAGTACTGGTATATTGGAGGATGTTGCCTGATTTAGAGCCATCGCGATAATAACTGGTACTTAGCACTTGAAAGTTGGCAAAACATTTTATGTACATTGTCTCATTGAGCCTTCCGAGGATGCTGTGAGGTAGATCCATGGGTTCTGTCTTTATTTTACGGAGGCTTAGAGAGGTCAAGTGATATGTTCATGGTCACACATCTCTCACTCAAATGGATCTGGGATGTCATCAAATGATGCAGCTTATAATCCATTCTTGCTTGCCTGTCCCATGTGACTCTTGCTTGTATTGTCCCATATATTCACTGCAAGGTTCTATTAGTATTCTACTAGTAGGCCACAGGCCTTCCTCAGTTTCACTGCGCATCAGAAGCACACCAGTGCTGCACACAAGCCATTTACTGGTGGTTACCTCTTGCTCTGCAACGTGACCAATGTGTCTGTGTCTGACATGGCTAACAAATGTCGGAGACAGAATTGGAGCCCAGGTCTTAGACCAAACAGTTCTTTATCTAATACAGTGAGCTGCCTCTCAGCCATGTAGCATTACCAAAACAGTATTCGTGTTTGAAGTATATGTGTATGCTTGTGTGCGTGCACGTACGCGCATCTGTGTGGAAGCAGCTTGTCATTATTGTAGAGGCTGCACAGCTTTTAGCTTATTGTCCACTTCTATCCACAGTATACGTACTGGCTGTCTAATAACTCGGTGGACTGACTGCCTTGCCAGCTGTACATCATGATCTGGCAGGAGACGTTTCTCTGGGTTTTTTTTTCCTTTGTGCATTGTTAAGCCAGGTTCTTAAGTGGCCCTGTAATATTCTAGTACTTAGTGCAGGCTACACAAAGCCAAACTATCTAAAGACTTGCTTTCATCTCCACTGTCTTTGCATGTTTCCTGGGGCAAAACTTCCTCTAACTTTCCACATTTTAACAGTGATTCTGTACCCTTAAGCTAGTGCTGCCCTTGGCTGCATTGTGTTTCTCTTTTCTTGGCGAAGAGAGATCGGGTGTTTGCTTGTGGAAGCTATTTTTGAACTCTTTTCTATTCCTCATGATGACTTCTTTACATCAGTTAAACCTGTTAGAAATGGTGTAAAAGGTGTCCTTTCTTTTTTCCATTTCTTGTTTTTCAAGGTTTGAATAAGTCAGGCTAAACCTGTTGTAATTGATGACAGTGTCTGCTCGTTATCCTCTCTTCTGATTTGGTGTTTATTTTTACTTTTGTTCTAACTAGTGGATGGTTTCACTATATACAGACAGCTGATTTTAAAACTACTCCAACACTAATAACAATACATTTTCTATTTATTGAACTATGGTTTGTTGCATTTTCTTGAGATGTTTGGTGCTTGCCATTTCTAGTGCCTTCCTGTTCTCTTCTGAAGTATTAAACGCTATACAAGCATGAAGCTTCTGATTAGTCTATAATACTTTAGCCTCTTTTGTTTCTTAATTCCAAATTACTTTTCCTCCCTTATTTCTTACTGTCTTATTCTATACCCCCTTTGCATTGAAGTTACCAAGGATCAAGGTATGTGTTGGCTTGGTTTACAAAATCTTGTCAAATTCTTCATAGGATTTATCTTCATCCTCAGCCATTGATGTTAGCATATAAACACAAGTTATTTTCATGGTGATCTTTATGCTTGTAGGAGGCATCTTAGTGGAATAAGTACTGGCTCTGGAGTCAGAGAATCTGGGTTCAGATCTCACCTCTGATGCTTAATACATGGGTGACCTTGGACTTCCCTTGGACTTGATGGCATCTGGAGTCCCTTCCAGCTGTCTATCTGTAACAATCCCAAGTTCATAAATACTACAGGACAAGATAACCAAGTGTCCCATGAAATGTTGTTTCTTATTGCCTCTGAGCATATGAAACTAATTCTTCCAATTCCCTATTTGTCTCTCCAATTAGAATACCTCCATGATTAATCTTTCCATTAGCCACAACTTCCTTATGTCTTCTGGTTTCATTTAAATATTAGAAAAATTGCTTTCTCTTCTGCTGGGCTTTTGCACCACTGGTTGTGGTTGCCTTACCTATTAAAAATTAAACTATTGGTCCAAAATAATTAGTGTTAATTTATCAGCAATTTATGTTGCTGTCAAATGATCTAGTTGTAATATTCAAGTAGAGGTAGAAAAAGGAAAAAAAATATTAGTTGTAAGTGGTTGGGTCGAAAAACTTGAACGTAATTTTTTTAACTGAGAAGAAACAAGTTTCTTCCCCATGACTTCAAGATCTCTGGAAACCCTACCTCAATTTTTACCTCTTGAGGTGAAAAATATTCGATGGCCAAACGATTGCCTTAAAATAGATCTAATTCGTAAGCTCACATATTATTTTATATCAGCATTCATATGGCCTTAATTAATTCATAAAATCATTGAATTTTAGAGCTAGGAAAGACCTTAGACATCTGCTCTAACCTCAGCTGAGGCTGAGAAAAATAAAAAGCTTTTGTCTGTAGTCATATAGATAGACAGCAACAGATCCAGGACTACAATCTGTGGCTCCCAATCCAGTGTTCTTTCTGTTCTAATGCTGTCCTCTACTAAGAGATTTTTTTCCTTCAGATTCTGTCTTTCAAAATTTATTTCAAAGAGATTTCATTCTCTTTTACTTATGTAGCTTCGGTCTTAAAACAGCTAAAATTTTGGAAGTTAAATGATTTCTAATTTATTGCTATTTCTTACTTGACAGACTTGGACTCAGGGATCAGCAAGAAAGAGAGATAGTACATGTCCTCATAGATTGCTGTCTACAAGAGAAAATATATAATCCTTTTTATGCATATTTGGCTAGCAAATTTTGTGAATATGAAAGGAGATTTCAAGTAAGTTGAATGTTTTATAACTACCTTAGATAAGTACTAGTCAAGTTCACTCATTGGCCAGATGTATTTTTTTTCTCCTTTCCCTCAACAATTCTTTCTTCCTCCTCTGCACTACGCTTCCCAGCTCCAGATGGGACATAATTTATACCACAGATGAGGTTAGTTTCAGAGCCAAGTTTACAACTTAAGTTCTCATCACCTAATTTTATGTCTTCTGCTAAAGAGTATCTTTAAGTAGTACTTTACATATTTCAGTTCAGTGTATTATTGTCCACTTTAAATTAGGAAATTAGGTTTTGAAAGAAATCATTATAAGAATCCTTAGCTACTAGGAAACTGGTATATTTGCTTTCAGAAGCCTTTATATATTTAATAATATTAAATACATTTTAATTTGCTATTAACTAAAAGATTTCATTTTATAGGAACAATGTTTTAATAAGGGTCATACTTTTCATATCATTTTTCATTGAAGTGTAAACAAATATATTTAATCATAAATTATGTTTTATGGTAGCATTCTTTTAATGAGAAAGGAATAGAATGGCATTGTATTATGATGTTACGTCCCACTTCTACCTGTGTATTTGTTGGATTGTGAAATTTTTTTTTCTTCTGGAGTAGATGACATTCCAGTTCAGCATATGGGACAAATTTCGGGATTTAGAAAACTTGTCAGCTACTGCATTTTCTAATTTTGTGCAGTTGGTGGCCCACTTGCTGAAGAAAAAGTCACTTCCACTTTCCATCTTTAAGGTTTGTAATTCATTAATGAATTAATATTCACTTTTAAAATACTCTTGGTTAAACATAAATCTTTTTTAAATGACTTTAAATGACTTCTGCTGTTTTGTTATAGCTCTTTATAATAATCAAACATCATATGTATATCCAGTGACCCTGTAGTCAGTTTATTTATTCCATGCACCAACACACTCAATAAGCATGTTCAGAGGTATTTTACTAGCCTAGGTAAGTGCTTATATTACTAAATTTAGTGGTAACGTGCAAGTTGTACTTGTAAATTCTCAAGTTGGTAATCTCCATATTACTTTGAGATGATGGAAATACACATATGTCAATGTTCAGAGAAAATAAGGAAACTTAGAGAGTGTGGGTGTGCCCACGTTTATAGAAGTAGGTTAATGTCTAGGGAATTCTGTCATTTGGTCAGGAAATGACGCATTGGATCAGAGTCCCTGACGTTTGTCATCAGAGGTGGCTACTTTTCTCTCTTCCATCTCTGTGTGAATCCCAACAACAAACCACCCATACCATTCAGACTGGAACTTTTCTGCATCTAAGCAGATCATATTGAGTGAAATGACAGAGAGGTTATGGCTTGCTTATCATCTGGATTATCTGTCTTCATGGCTAGAAATAACCTTTAGCTCCTTCTCAGTAGCCCTGACTTCCTGAGACTAAGCTGGAGAATTAGGAAATCTGGCCTGTTGGGAGAGTCATGGAGAACTGGCCCTGGGACATTGCTGATCTAGGCGTCTCCAAGGGAGGAAGCTCCCTCTTTCAGTGAAGGTTGGCAGCTTCTTGAGAGTTGCCTCCAGAAGTGTGAGGTTGGGTGACTTCCTCCCCAGGTCACAGACACAGGAAGTGCCAGAGCAGGATTTGGAGCACAGCTCTGTCCCCACCAAGTCATTCTTACCCCTGGGGAGAGGAAAGCAGTGTTGGAAGGACTCCAGGTCCATTTTGTGGTTCTGGGTACCTGAATGAGAATAGGATATAATCTCATCCCTTGAAGCCAGTTGAAGTTTTCCAACAGTTACCCTGAGCTGCTGGGAATCTAATGGGCTTGAGAGTCTATCCAAAGTATCTGAGAAACATTTCCTTCCTTGGCATCTCTGCTAATGATGAGTTATTTAAGTGACTTCTATTCTTCACCAAGTGAAAAGGGTTGAACCTAATCTACAACCATCCTAGAGTCTTGTTATTTTTCAGGTCAGGAAGGATTGTGGAACATTGTGAAGGTGGAAAAACTTAACTTTTTAGAGAGCATATATAGGGTGAGGGATCTGTAAAAGAGAGAAACTACGAGGGAGAGCTGACTTCCAAGGCAGAACGACCACAGAGGGGGCAAGTGAGTCATCTTCCTAGCTTTTCATCCTGTACAGACATATCGTAGAATCAGATACATCATCCTGAGTGTGTTCAGGACTTACCCCTGTCCTGGCTGCTGTGAAATACAGGCCTGCAGCTCCTGGCCTAACAGCATGGCTGTCTCCACACCTTTTTGTGCTGTTAGTTCAACTAGAATCCAGAATCACACTGCCTTAAATTGTCAATTTCTGTACCAAAAGAATGTGATCATATATCAGTGAAGTGCACAGTCTATGTGCGCTGCAAGGCTAGTTTTTCCTTAAAGTATCTGCTCAAGGAAACTTTAACTCCTGTTTCTGCTGTACAGGTAGGCCCTTAAAGTTATTTATTTCAGTTTGGACATTGAATTGTGACATTCCAATACATACCTCAGCTGTATTGTTTGGTTTGTTAGTTCTTCTGGCTTTACTTTAAGATGTTGGCCTAATGTATTAAGAGTTTTATGGGACTTGTGGTGGATACAGTATGGTGTTGTGGTAGTAGAGAGTGTTTTGGAGTTGTTTCCAAATCCTGCTTCTTCCATTTGTTACACTTGTGTGACTTTGGGCAAGTTATTTAGTCTCTCTGGGCTCAGTTTGCTTTTCTGTACAGTCATCTCTGGTGTTCCCATAAACTTGTTGATTTGCTAATTTTATATATTTTTATTATTCATAATGTATAATTTTCTATAAGTTTATACATTAAAATTTTTTTAAAAGCAATTGGGGTTAAGTGACTTGCCCAGGGTCACACAGCTAGTAAGTGTCAAGTGTCTGAGGCCGGATTTGAACTTAGGTCCTCCTGACTTCAGGGCCAGTGCTCTATCTACTGCACCACCTAGCTGCCCTTACATTAAATTTTTCAATGGAGAAGGAAATTGAAACAAAGGTAATGCATGTAAGCATGTAGTCTATAGTGATATAGCAATGGACTTGGCACTCCTCTTTGGTAAAGAAGCACATGGAGATTTGGCCTCTCATTTTGTGCCTAGAAGTAGTGGTTCATTAGAAATGTGTCAGTGAAGTAATATATTGTTGTCTGGTTCATAATTTTATAAAACAAAATAAGGACCCCTTTCAAAATAGCATTATTTTTTTTCTTTTTCCAATTGCATGTATCTGGAAGTCACTGGAAAAAATGTAATTGTATTTAAAATTCTTTTTAATTATTATTAATATTATCTTAGGTAGTTGAATTCAGTGAACTGAACAAACCCAGAGTCCACTTTTTACGGAAAATATTACATAAGCTATTGATGGAAACAGAAGTTGAAGAACTTGCCACAATTTTTGGCAGGTAAGTAATCACATTATGAGATGTGGTTAATACTGTCAGTACATAAAATGTTCTAAATTTAGTGTTACTGTTAGAAAGTGATTTTGTCACAATATTCAATCCTTGATTTTTTTTCATTTTATATTTATTTTTTGTAGAAGGAGATACATAAAAGAAACTAGTTTTGTTGATTACCATATTTTTACACTTTTTTCCCCAGAGTATCTGACAACCCAAAGCTGGGAATGTTGCGGGAAGGTTTGAAGCTTTTCATTAGCCACTTCTTACTGAGGAATGCACAGGCCCTCCAAAGTGCTGAAGAAGCCAATACACTTAAAGAAAGAGCCGATCTTGCAACAAAATCTTTGCAAGGAAAATCATCCTTAAAAATGTAGTGTTATGGGAAAGGGTCATGATTGGAATGAGTCAGTAAAACCAGAAGATCTCTAGGCTGACAGAGCCAATATTACGAGACATGATAATGAGACAAGAATCTATTTATTTTTATATATCTTTGTTGCATGTGTATAAAGTATATTGGGTATAATTTATACAATTTTTATATTGAAAATGGTTTTCTATCACTGGATGTAATGAGACCTTGATAGAAATTAAGAGTAGGCCACTAGATGGTGCAATAATCATGAAAAAATTCAGTGTCATTAGTGACTGTTTTTTATTAAAAAGAATTCCCTCAATAAAATTATTTAAATGTAATTTTTATTGTATTTTTTTAAACATACCATTAGATAGTCTGTGTACAGGGTGTTTTTTTTTATTTCTCTTTCTGAATTTACTGCATTTATCTAAATAACCCTTTGCCCTCCCAGGATATGAGGATAAAGTCTCCAAAAGAAGAAATGAAAAAGATGTAAAAAGCTCAAATTCTTAGTTGAGTAGTAAGCCTTACCTTGGAAAAGGCCACAAGATCAAACTGCTTCCACTGGGAGGAATAAGTATATATGTTGTTGGCTTCCAAATGTTTTCTAGTTAATAAAAGAATATACACCAAGGACTCACAACAGCTGCAGTTGTGTTAGTAGCCTTAAAACTTTTCTGACCTGACCAACTAGATCAGGAGTGGGGAACCTTCGGCCTTATGGCCACACATGACTTTCTAAATCCTTAAGTGTGGCCTTTTGACTGAATCCAGATTTTACTGTAAAATCACTTTATGATGAGTCTCTTTTTGTAAACAGCCTCCTTTGAGTAAAATCCAAAAAAGATCCATTTTATAATGAAATTTATTTTGTAGTAAATAAACTGGGTAATGCAAGCTTCCAGCATAATGAATAGCTGATGTTAAATGTCAGTTTTATTAATAAGCTTTGACATGAGATATGTTAGCTTAACACCCACTCCAGCTATTTTTAGACATCTCTAGCTTCTATTTTTCTAAACTAGAATGAAATGTTTTACATTCAGGATACAAAGTCAGTTTCTATCACCTTTTTTTTTGTATTGTTCAAATTGGAGTACATAAAACTGTCAAATCCCAGAGTACATAAACAACGCAAGGACTCTCCAGTGCCCATTACATGTCGATTGTCCCTCTTCAGTGGCAGCCTCAGAAAGCACTCTACTCTGCCAAATTAAAACCCTATGTATACCCCTCTATCAGGCTCTGGGTTTAGACAACAAAGAGTGGAGGCTGCAGGTGTTAGAAAGAAGTGAATTAAGTGAAATCCCACCGGTCACAAGTAGGCTTTTATTACAAGCTTCTCTAGTCAAGCTCCTAGGTGGTTTTAGTGGTAAAACACAGACTGAAAGAAATGAATCACAGGCACAGCTGTCGGAAGCAGAAATAAACCAGCACATGACTGGAATAATACTGTCCAATTTCATCATCATGTAATATGTATGAGTTTCCCCCACTTAACAGAATAGATGAGTTCCACAAAAATACTGTTAAATTCATTAAATGAATCCCATTTTCATGGTGACTTTCATTACACATTTGAAAATGCATTGCACTGTTCTTTAGAATGAAGTTTTAACTTGACCTGAAATTCCTTAAGAATAGGTTTTATGCTAAGTGAAGGATACCTACATTAACCTCATGTTTACATGATAAACTAAGTAACAAAAGATTGCTCAAAAGACTGACTTAAAAGGGCATATTTTCTGTTTGATGTATGTGTCTTCTATTTTGAAAATATGGAAAATCTCTATATTTTATTTAGTTCATATTTTTGTCCTTTTTTCCTCAGGGAATATTTTGTTAATAAACAAGGTTAGGTGAATATCTGGTCATCTTTACTTAATTTCACTTATTTTTAATTAAGAAATAATAAAAGGAGGAGGGGGTGAGTTTTCAGGCCAATTAAAAAGGTAAAAATGTTTGGCTTTTCTGACATTAAAAAAAGACTTTTCCCTTTATATCAGCCATTTCCCACCAATCTCTTCAGACTAAGCCCTCTTTTTTTTTTCTGGGTATTAATTTATTAACTAGGCTAACCAATAATCAGTAAATTGATGGTCAGTGGTTTCTCTTGGTAATCAAAGACACTAAAGGGAGAGTCCAGAACCAATATAAATCTAGGTCTGTTTATTTTTAAATATAAATTTATTTATTTTTAGTTTTCAATATTTACTTCCACACGATTTTGAGTTCCAAATTTTCACCCCATCTCATCCCTCCCCCCACCCCAAGATGGCATGCATTCTGAATATCCCTTCCGCTAGTCTGTCCTCTCTTCTGTCTCTCCCCCCCTTCTCTTATCCCCTTCCACTTCTGTTTTCCTGTAGGGCAGGATAGACTTCTGTACCCCATTTCCTGTTATTTCTTATTTCCCAGTAGCATGTGAAAACATTTTTTTTAAACATATGTTTTTAAAACTTTGGTTTCAAATTTTCTCCTTTCCTCCCTCCCCACCCACCCTCATTGAAAAGGCAAGCACCTCAATATAGGTTATACATGTGCAGTTATGCAAAACACTTCCATAGTAGACATGTTGTGAAAAACTAACTCTATTTCCCTTAATCCTATCCTGCCCTCCCATTTATTCTATTCTTTCTTTTGACCCTGTCCCTCCTCAGAAGTATTTACTTCTGATTACCCCTTTCCCAATCTGCCCTCCTCTCTATCATCCCCTGCTCTCTTGTCCCCTTCTCCCCCTATTTTCCTGTAGGGTAAGACAGATTTCCATACCCAATTGAATGTGTATGTTATTCCCTCCTTAAGCCAAATCCTATGAGAATAAGATTCACTCATTCCCTCTCACCTTCCCCTGTTTCCCCTCCACTGTAAAGACCTTTTTTTTTTGTGAGATAATTTACCCCATTCTACCTCTCCCTTTCTTCTTCTCCGAGTATAATCCTCTCTCATCCCTTAATTTTATTCTCCAGATATGACCCCTTAATCTTCAACTCACCCTGTGCCCTCTATCTATCTATAATACATACATATAATTTTTTTCCTCCACTACCCTAATACTGACAAAGGTCTCATGAGTTATAAATATCATTTCCATGCAGGAATGTAAACAGTTCAATCTTAATAAGTCTCTCATGATTTCTCTTTCCTGTTTATCTCTTCATGTTCCACTTGAGTCCTGTATCTGAAAGTCAAATTTTCTATTCAGCTCTGGTCTTTTCATCAGGAATGCTTGAAAGTCCTCTATTTCACTGAATGACCATTTTTTCCCCTGAAGGATTATACTCAGTTTTGCTGGGTAGGTGATTCTTGGTTGTAATCCTATCTCCTTTGCCCTCTGGAATATTATATTCCATGCCCTGCAGTCCTTTAATGTAGAAGCTGCTAAATCTTGTGTTATCCTGATTGTGTTTCCACAGTACTTGAATTGTTTTTCTGGCAGCTTGTAATATTTTCTCCTTGACCTGGGAACTCTGGAATTTGGCTACAATATTCCTAGGAGTTTTCCTTTGGGGATCTCTTTCAGACAGAGATCTGTGGATTCGTTCAATTTCTATTTTTCCCTCTGGTTCTAAAAATCAGGGCAGTTTTCCTTGATAATTTCTTGAAAGATGATGTCTAGGCTCTTTTTTTGATCATGGCTTTCAGGTAGTCCAATAATTTTTAAATTCTCTCTCCTGGATCTATTTTCCAGGTCAGTTGTTTTTCCAATGAGATATTTCACATTGTTTTCTAATTTTTCATTCTTTTGGATTTGTTTTACAGTGTCTTGATTTCTCATAAAGTCACTAGCTTCCAATTGCTCTATTCTAATTTTTAAGGAAGTATTTTCTTCAGTAATCTTTTGGACTTCCTTTTCCATTTGGCCAATTTTTCTTTTTAGGGCATTTTCTCCTCATTGGCTTTTTGGACCTCTTTTGCCATTTGGGTTAGGCTATTTTTTAAGGTGTTATTTTCTTCAGTATTTTTTTGGGTCTCCTTTAGCAAGCTGTTGACTTGTTTTTCATGATTTTCTTGCATCACTCTCAGTTTTTCCTCTACTTCCTTACTTGCTTCTCAAGATCCCTTTTGAGCTCTTCCAAGGCCTGGGACTGATTCATATTTTTCTTGGAGGCTTTGGATGTAGGAGCTTTGACTTTGTTGTCTTCTTCTGGTTGTATATTTTGATCTTCTTTTCACCAAAGTAAGATAATATAGTCTGACTCTTTTTGCCTGCTTGCTCATGATCCCAGCCAATTACTTGAGTTTTAAACTCTTTGTTAAGGTAAGAGTCTGCTTCCAATGTGGAGAATGTACTGTCCCAAGCTTCGGGGGTTTGTACAGCTGTTTTCAGAGATACTTGTAGGGACCTGTAAATTTTCAGTTCTTCCAAGGTGGTATGATAAGGGGTGAGGTGTTTACTCCTTTCCTGGCCTGTGCCTGACCAAAGTACTCCTTTCTGTCCTGTAACTGTGAGGAGGGTTTCTCTACAGCCACTACAGGCTCTACCACGCAAGCACTCCTCCTCACCCCAGGACCACCACCCAGAACTGTGACCCAGATCCAAACATGGGCAAAGCAAGAGATTCCTGCCTTAGCACTGGCAAAGAGATCCCTGCCATCCCTCTCTGATCAGCCACTGGATTACCCCTCAGTCTGTGGGCTGGAGACTCAGGAGTCAGCTGCCCCCCTAGGGTGGTGCTCTTGGGGCACTGGAGCTGAGACCCCTCTCTCACCATCACAGAAACAGACTTTTCCAACTGACCTTCTAAGTTGTCTTTAGCATTTGTGGATTGAGGAGTCTCAAACTGCCACAGCTGCCTGAGATTCAGTCCTCTGAGGCCTGCTCCAGGTCCATGCCGCACTGCGTTCCTCTCGCAGCCCAGTGCAATATACCTTTCTGATCCAACATCCAGATTGTCTTAGTATGGAAATTTGTTTCACTCTGTCTTGTTATGGGGTCTTCTGCTTTAGAATTTGTTTAGAGCCATTTTTTATAGGTATTTGGAGGGGTTTGGGGGAGAGCTCAAGCAAGTCACTGCTTTCACTCTGCCATCTTGGCTCCACCCCCTAGCCTGAGCCCTCATTTGTGACAAAAACAATTAAGTAAAAACATCAGGTTCAGAGACTGACAGTATATTTCATCCATGGAGCCCAACATGAGGAAGGAAAACATTTCATTATCTTCTCTAGGACTTCCATTGTGTTTTCCATTTCTCAGTTCAACTTCCTTTTAGTGATCTTCTCATTTTATTTATTGTTTTTTGGTTTTGCTTGTTTTGACCTCAGTTCAGTAAGCGTGTATTAAGCTGCCCCTATATATGCCAGGAGTTATGCTGGGTGTCAAGAGACAAACAGGAAA